CCGAGAATACGTTCGTTTTACACGACAAACATAATGGTATAAATTATTACTATTATCATTTCCCCTCACGTTTTCGTATTTACACGACTAAAACAAATATAACGAGTACGATATTATACATAGTTTAAAATAATAATGATTGTTGTGTATTCATATCATCATACATTTAAACTAATGGAATATTCTCCACGTTATAAAAATATGTTAATTAAAAGCTTATTTTTTAAACTTAATTATATTTTAAATTAAAATGTTTGAGATATTAAAGACAATAATATACGCAATTTTAATTTCGGAATAGTGTGTACAATGTATTTTGACATTAAAACTAGTTATGAGTAGTAATTTATTCACCCAAACTACACACAAAAAAAATAAAAAAATAACTATTAAAATARCGTTAAATTATTATTTATTTATTTATTTATTAAAATATAAATTACAGAACTGTATGAAATAAAAAATAAAACTGTTACTATTGTAAGTAGTTATTTTTTTTATATTTGTTAATAATATAGTCTATTATTAAATCTATTATAATTTTAAATTCATAAAAAGAGATACATAAAAAATTGAAAATACGCAAAAAAACATTTTTTTTTATAGATGAGACTTATTATAGAGATACAACTAAATGTAAATCTTTTTTAAATATTTGTATTCATATAATTATCATGATAGTAATATAATATAAATATAATTATCAAAAAATTGTGTCAACTCGTATGTATCGTATACATATAACCCGATATCTATACGTCGATATAAAAATGTTTACTCTGTGATCAACCTTTTTAAAAATGTAATATATTAAAATGATTTTGTCAAGAAAGTATTAGAAACATGTTTCTGAGCATAACCCAAAATCCAATAATTTCCATATATTTTTTTTTTTTTTTTGGCATCACCGACTTTATGATAATTAAATATAATACAATACATTTTTGAAAAAAAAATTAAGTATGGATAAAGGGCTATAAATCATAAATTAGATAAAAATCTAATTTCTTGTGTCTCACGCAGGGAAAACTTATAACATTTTTACCAAGCCCCTTAAAAGGCACTTAAAAAAAAAAAAATTGGTTTCGCATATTATTATACCTTTGACTCTGCTGTAAGCCTAACATGGTGTTCTATTATTCTACCTTACCATCGAATTATTATTCATATCATTCTCTTAAACATTTTATAATCAGTAACTATACTTTAGCTATAGGTACACGTATCACGTATGTATTTGTTTACATTATTACTTAAAAATATTTCGTATATTTTACATACCAAAACAATCGTTTATTGTATTGTAAATTATTTTATCATCTTCTCGAGATATGTACATGACTGTTCGTTATGAATAATACAATCATTAATTATATACATTTTGCGCATACTTATGCAAAGTATACATTCACAAGTATCTTTTTCCAAATTTAAAGTAACTAATTAGGTACGTTGTTAGAAATCATGGATGGAAGAAGTGGCGAGTAGGTCTTAGCACGTCTTATTTGCCTACACTGGCTAAATCTTACCATCGTAAATTATGTATGTTTGATACCATGACGTAATATAATATTATGCTGTACAGAAAATGTTGTCTGGCTCTTTCAGTATATTCACGTTTTGACGATAAGTGTCCCGGATGGGAAATGTCACCCTACCCATTCGAATCGTCGGAAATCGACAATAATAATATAAAGGAATAAAATATTTTATTTGATTCGACGTTCTACAGCGTCAGAGTGCGTAGTATTATGTACTCTTTAGAAGTCTATATTCAATTCGGTTTGATTACGAAATTTTTAAAAACGATGTTTTATTATCAATTTATTTGCCAAACGCAAATTAGGTGTGGATGACGATCCGCAAACTAATAGTGGCTTTTCAAATTTTTCCTACCCAAGGCCTTTTTAAGGTACTAATATGTAGCATATTTTTGTTTATTTTAGCTACACATATAATGTTACCTATACTTACGAGTTACGATGGTATATAGGTAGTTGGTGTTATTTAAAAATACATATTTTATACGCCAAAACAATTGTTTATTTTATCATTGTAAATGATTATTCGTTAATAATAATACAATAACTATCGATGATATTATATATTATATACCTTATAACAGCCAATTCAAAGTGCATACCCGAGTGTCTTTTGCCAGAGTAAGTTAAACTTTGAACGGCGAAGGTGGTTTATACCTGCAGAGTGTAGGAGGTACCTATATACTTATTGGGGGACGAGGTGGCCGAGCGGTCTAACGCGTCGGCTGTGGCTAAGCCGGACCGGGTTCGATCCTCCACCATAGGGCGGCATTTTTCTCCGGGCAAGTCACGGTGTCCGGAGAACAAGTGCCGCCATACCCCCACTCCGGGGCATGGCAGAAACCTACGGGTGCCCCAATAGAAATTCTGCCAAACAGGCGTCCGAACTAGGCCTTTGGGCAATACGGAAAAAAAAAATATACTTATTTGTCTATTACGATGTACAGAAAACGTAGTTCATCACTTTCATCATGTACATCCGTGTTTCGACGATAAGACGTTATAGAGGGGAAATGATATCACCCTAAATAGTCGACAATAATAATGGTATAAAACATGATAATAATATTCGACGATTCAACGCGTCGTATATCCTACTGCATCGTATCATTCGCCGTTTATTTACAACTCTTGAAATAATTATTCGTTACGATGATTGGTAAATGACCAAGTTTCAAACACGATGTTCCAATTATTATAATTTTTTTTTGTCGAACTTTGACGTCATTCGCAACAGGCACCTAACTTAAACTAACCGCTGTGACGGTGTTAAGATCGATCATTACATATGACGTGAACTATTATTGACGTCTTGTAATTTATTGTTGCGAACGTACCATTATAGGTAAAATATATCGTTCGAATTCATATTATTAGAAACTCGTAGTAGGTAGATACCGAGTACAGGTGTGCCTACACATTGTGTGTAGACGGAATGTGAATAAATTATGTGTTTAAAATTTAAAATTGAACATTATGATAATGATATACATTCTCAGCGAAGCATAATGAGATGGATATTGGCTTTACGTTAAGATGGACGTTTTCATTTCCTTCGGAAAAATAACCACTTTTCGCAGCGTTACAAGTGTTCAAACATTTTACATATTATAAGAAGAGAACGTGTCAATACAATTCATCTTGAGATTATAGCGAAGTCACAGCAACTACAGCCGATGATACCGCAGAATAATATATGAAATATATAAAAATATAAATATATTATACCTACATTATAATATTACTATATTTTATTTTATATATAATTTTTAATTTAAAAGAAAACCAATTGATTTAAATAGTTACGAATTTTGTAATTTAAAATAATAATGTTAGTTATAATATATCAATATGCCAATATACTTATTAAAAAAATGTATCCTAAGAAATAAAACGATTAAAATTATAATAATTAAAACCAATAAAAATATAATTTGTTTATATTATGATCACAAACAAATTATTCGATTTAAATTAAYGAATACATTTTTATATAATACATCATTTCTAAATATGGTAACATTTCATTATAAAATTTGTTAATAAAGGATATCACACAATCAGTTTTTAGAAGCATTACCGTTTACGTTTAGATGTTTGTTCTTCTAATGAAACCATTATAAAATAAAAAACAACATGTCTAATCGTTAAGAAATTTAATTTACACTTATAGTTTTGTTTACATTTTTATTTATTGTTAAATAGGTCAATGCTTATAACGTCCATGGAGTTGAGCTTAAAAGGTGAAGCTATATAAAATTTAATTCGTGATCAAAATAATGAATTATTGTTAAGTTATGATTGTGACCATAATTAAAATGACGTATTTTACTATTTTGAAGTATATTTCTATGTATGTCGACTATTATTCCCCACTATAAACAAGTAGCCGTAGATAATAATTGAATAAAAACGGCTGGCTAATCGAACTTTTTAACGACTATAATGTACGATATATGCATTTTTGGTATCCAATGTCCAATAACTTTATACTTAGGTCTGTTCATATTATTGTACTTTTCTTTTGCACTACATTTTAATCATTTTATTCTTGTACATTAGTTTTTTCAAAATACATTTTGTTTCGTTTTAAATTACGAATTAAATCGAAACTCGTTGCTATCCTAATAAACGTTGATAATTTAAACATTTTTATACAAACATTATAAACATTTATTTATATTATAAGCTTACGTCTTCGCGCATTTAATATAAGCTGCTAAATTTGGAACAATATAAACATTCATTTTTATGTTGAAAATGCCTTCACAGCCATAACATTATGTTTTTAATAAGTCACCTATAATAGGTAACGTTTAAACACATAACAATATATTTATGTATAGTACTTACCTACATACATTTTATTTCTAGATTTCTTTAGATAGGTAAACCAACTTATCTTTTTGTTTACTGCCAAGTGTTAATTTTCATCTTTGACTAAATACCAACAATGTAATTATAGTTTTGATACGACTACTTTGTTTGGACCTATATCTGTACAAATTATCTATTTGAAATTTGACAACATCATTATAGGTTTGATTGAAACACGTTTAATGTTAGTTGTGAAAATATAATACATTTATATTAAAGTTTACCTACTTATTATATATAGGGTATCTGATTTTGGTCATCTGCAAGACTTACCGTTATTTTACATTAAAGTTTTTTGAGAATTCTTAATCAACTACTTGAATATTATCAAAATTCCATATTTTTCAATCGGAAACAATACCAATTGTGGTGAATTTTTAATCCATTTTTCGTGGAAAATTTAGAATTATCCGTTAGACATAGAAAAAAGATTAGAAACTAAAAACAAAATTAGTTAAAATGTTTTTTCTATGTGACCTCGACAAACGTCGTTGTCAAATGAAATATAAGTACTCACTACTTAATAAGTCCCGACTACCGAGTAATTATATCGTATTGTAATCATTGTTGTTATGTTTACAGAACTGAGCGAAGCTGTCGACAAGGCGAAAGAGGAAGAAATTCAAATACCGTTTGGAGTTGGGGTGGCCGGCACAGTGGCAGAAACAAAGCAAGTCGTCAACATCAAAAACGCATACCAGGTAAAGGGAAACAAGAAAATCCTGTTTGTGATGACAAATTGAAAATAAACTTTTCGAAAACGAATTGGTGTTAACATTACTAAGATGGTGTGTAGGTTTTCACTCACTAGAAGCTAGRTGTTGATACCACATTAGACGTATAAGTCAAAATAAGTTCTTTTAAAGGTAGTAATTTTTAATTATTTTGGAGTTAATTTAACATCCATAAATGTTTTATCATTACACAACCAATCATAGATTATTCTAATTCCACTTATTTTCAAAAATAACATGTAGTACCTATACAAATTTAAAAATATTTTATTGTGTTCAAAATAAATTTTATGTGATATCAATAACTGTCGATCGGAGTGTTGAATTAACAAAAATTTTAAACAGTTAAAATATTGTAATTCTTTAGAAAAAATTTATCAAGTTTTATTCCCATTCAACGGAGTTTGAATCCTTGACTATCATCCACAATTACTACCTAACGAATGTCCTACCTACATTCCTACGCCTACCTAACGGTAAACCATTAGACTACCTATCGGGGTTGTATTTTGTATGAAAAATATACTATTTAAACAAGTAAAATTATGGGACATGGATTGTATTTCATTATTGGAAGTTGTATAGAACCCGCAAAACACTGTTTTTCATTGTCACAATCTTCGCATATTCCACATTTTGTGTTAGGTACATTACTAATGATTTTACCTATATACATATAATATATTGTATGCATATAATATATAATAAATGTACCTATATTATATTATAATATATTAATTTTCCTACTTTGGAGGTGATGTATTTACTAGTCTCCAGGATTATTGGACTCTCCAAAGTCATGTACCTATTTTATATTTTTAATTATTTAACATTTGTAAATACCTATATATATATAAACGGGGTGATTTATGAAGCGTAAAACACTCATTATTTCAAAAAGTGTAAATGTTTTTGAAAATATAATTTTAAATAGCTTCAAGTCGTTTACAAAACAACGTTTTTATTAAAAAATTATATTTTTAACATTTTTTTATCCCTATAATTTTTTAAGTWTTTTACTTTTTTGAATGACAACATCTAGTTTTAATTTGATATTCCAAAACAGAATATTTTTCTAAGTAATTTGATATATAAAAATTTAATTTAGGGCGAGTAGTTTACGTGATATAGGTATTTAAAGTTTAGATGAGCGGAGTAGAGTGGTACTGGGTTACCCCGCGACATATTTGTACACTACTCCGCTCATCCGTACTTTAAATATTTATAACTCATAAACTACTTGCCCTAAATTCAATTTTTATGAATCGAAATACTTAGAAAAATATTCTGTTTTGGAATGTCAAATTAAAACTACATCATGTTGTCATTCAAAAAGTAAAAAACTTAAAAAATTATAGGGATAAAAAAATGTTAAAAATATAATTTTTTAATAAAAACATTGTTTTGTAAACGACTTATGTCGAACGATGCTATAAGTTATATTTTCAAAACCATTTACACTTTTGGAAATAATGAGTGTTTTACGCTCCATGAATCATCCTGTATATTATGTATACAATATGCTATTTTTATAACCTGCATGTCAGGAATTAAGACAATTTTTAACCGCAAATTATTTAATTTAACAAGCAACTTCATAATTCAAAATCACATTATGTAGCGATTCAGCGATTGTTATTATAAGCATAGTAAGTAGTAAATCTTAAAATAAAAAATTGTTAAAATTAAAAAAAGCTCTGTTGTTGTTTTAACCACAAATATTATTATACTATTTAACAATTTATCAAGAGTAAAATTAACATTTATATGATTATATTAACAACAATTGCTTGTCAGCTATCAAAATATTGGATGTTAAAATGACTAAACATGGAATTGTTAAGTTATTAACGTATATAATTTTAAAGTTATATAACAAAAACTTAATTTAATCGTTAATATACTTAGAATACATTTTTTTCTTCATTTCAAATATAGAATATGGTTAACAATGAATATAAGTAATAGGTGTTCTAACAATACGTAGTGTAAGTCTCAACATTCAATACAACAATCCAATGTTGTTATTTAATATTCAAATCACAGTTAATTTAACATTTAGTTACTTAACAATTGATTGAATCTGAATTTAACTCCAATATTTCTATGTGTTGTATACAACGGTGATCGTCATCTGACCAAATGATTAAAAAATATAATATATCCACAGTCTTGTAAATGATATTTAGAAAAAATTATTTAAGTTCAAATAAAATTACTTATTTTGAAACGTATTTGACTAGGCTCATTAAAAAAACATTTGAGTACAGATACAAACATTTTCAAATTTTGTATAAAATGTTTTTTTTTTATAAATCAACTGAACCGATTTTCAGGTGTTAAATTAACTTTTTAGAGAATTTTACACAGAATCATTTGGCGGAACTTTAAAATTCCCGATTGTTTTCCGTATCCAAATAATTTGATTTTTAGTTAAGTATTATTCACAGTATTACAATACTACAATATTATATTCACAACCAACGATCTCAAATTCCTAAGGGATACAGAACTTCATAAAAAAATTGAATATAATATGCTATAAATATAATGTACCTACCATATTTAATGTAACTMATCTATTGCTTATATAAATACTATGTAATTTTTTTGTAGCCAATGGCCCATAGCTGCAGAGGCATTTGTTAAAATAATAAAAAAAAAATATATTATATTCTCAATTTTAAAATACAAAACGTAAAAACTTAATAGAATWATTAAAATATTTGAAAATTAGTGTTTGATGTTAAATAAATAAAAATACTTCGAAAAACCATTTAGAATGCGTATATGAGTACTTAAAATGTTTGAATATTTTTACTCAAATACAGTAAGGTTACTAGAGTACTTTACAACATTGTATTTACCGCAACACAATTATATACTATAATGATTAAGGTTGGGATTTTGATGCTCCCTAAAACGTTGTATTTATAGAATGTAACAACTATTTGGATTTCTCAAACGATAAGTTATATAAAAACTAAAAAGTGTTTAAATTATAATAAAAAAATAATAAGAACTTAAAATATTAATTATGAAAAGTTATTCAATTCGATGTTTTTCTATTTGTTAACCAATTCTTTCTAATCTTAATTATTCATAGCAACAGTAATCCGATCTGTTTATTATTATTGTTTTTATTTTTGTTTGCGTACCTAGGTACCTAATTTATTTCGTTATTTTAGGCAAAAGTTTAAACATAATGAAAAGCACAAAAAAAAAACTCAAAAAATACCCTAAAAAAGAAAAAAAAATACAATATAAAGTTTTATCAATGTAGCCGGTATAATACATGAACAATGTACTACAAGTGAAGCACATTTTCCATTTTATAAAGCTGTATTATTAATCACACACACACACGCACACAGACAAAATGAAAATGCGTCGAAATCGCAGCTCTATTTATTATCGTACGCCATTACATCGGACGCGCGCGTCGGTAGAGTTTTAAGCGAGTACAAAGTGCTTTAGTGAAAACAGAAAACAAAGAAGAAGAGACAAAACAGTAATACCTATAATATTATGTAATATACACCACAAAAACTAAAAAGCAGGTGACGAACAAAAACCTATAATGAATGATCAAATTGCATTATTATGTACTGGCCCGCTGGGATTGCTGATTGAACGGATGATCACAATAATTATACGACAATTAATAATTGTATTTCCACGAGTTGGTGTTCATCCGGTACATTATTAATTATCCGCAATTATCAATGTCAAATTCGTATTTCGAATCGAATTTATTGTAGGACGTGTACGAGTTTTCGGTAATCGCCAGCGCTTGTACAGATATTATTATTATCGTGGTCGTCCGTCGTTTACGGTCGTGCGTGCTGTATTTTATAATATATTACATGAAAGTATAAAACGCAAATTGGCACGGCTTCAAAAATTCACTGAATGAACAACGTAAAAAAAAAAAGGTTGCAAAACGTTACTATATATATAGAGAGAGAGATCTATATAGTATAGCTTGACCAAATTATACGTTTCCAAAACATCAAAGTTACAATAAACGACACAAATTTTATATGTTTGTATTTTATCTTTTCGGGTGGTACCAAATCACCATTATTTTCAATCACTGTTACTTTTATGGTTTTTTTTTTCTTTTGCATTTTAATTGGTTTCATAAATTAACTTTTAATAATTCTTACAGTAACGATAAACAATATCATCATACTATAAACATACTGAAATTTTGCTATTTAAAAATATGTATACAGTACGCATTTAAATTTAAATAGTTTTTAAAATTTGGTTTGCTCATTATTTTTAGTTTTGCAGTAAGGTACAGTACCACTAACATTTTCAAAATTTATTTGTATGCAATCATAAACATAGATTTTCTAAAATACCTAAAATATATTTTGTAATATTTTGATGGTATACTAAAATATGTTAACTACATTCAATTTTTATGTATTTATTGACATTTTGTATATAATATCAAGAAAATATAACCATGAAATAAGTAATTTATATTATTTAATATACGTCTGAAAATTAAATTCCATGCAAGACAGTGTGAAAAGATTGCAATGTTTTTATGTTTTTGTAAATGTTTACGTTCTATTATTAAAATATTGATTATTAGCTTTAGATCAACAAAAACACTTTATCAGAATAATTTGTTATATTTTACACGTTTCAGCTCAAACATTCGAAAACACTATTTCTAATTTCGATTATTTTAGTTTAGTGTTTATTATCACATTCACCATCAAGAATGGCAAGTACGTATAATGATTTAGAGGGATAGAGAATAAAGTGGAGAACTTTTCAAGTACTCGGGAAAAAAACTTTTTAACATAATTTTAAGGAAAACTATACGCGAAAAGTTCTTTTGTAATGACATTAAGTTATCTAGTCCATAAATTTTTAAAGCGTATTATATTTCAATAATGTTTTGGTCAAACTTTTTTGTGTGAAAAAAAATGAATTTAACTTTTAAG